ACAATCTTGTCCCTAACCCATCATCGATTATACCGACTGACTTCCACCAATTTCGCAATTATGGATCTGAAAATTTAGTATAGAATACTATGAGTATAAGGAATACTCAGTAAGATATCATGCTTGGATTTTAACATGTTAATCCTACACAAAAGAATGCAATCAAACACATACTTGCACATTCCGGCTTGCCGGTGCCCTTTGGACTTGTCCTAAGGTATAAGTAGATATTTAACTTTTGTCCACCACATTCATATTATGGTTTTTCATGCATACCTTAAGCATAAATATTACCATGAAATCCTACCACTTAAGCATAGAAAGTATCTTACTGTAAAACTTGAAGAAAATTCGGTTGAAAGATGAATTGAGAGTGCTAGGCTTGTCTCCCTTTTTTTTCTCACGTTGAATGCCCTTTCATACAAGTGAAAATCTGTTTTTTTCTTGCAAGGGAAAATAATGGCAGCAACATTTATATTTAAAGGTAAGAAAATGATTAATTAAAGGTGACTCTTCAACCATTTTATCTACGTGGGCTGCATGGATGCATTTCTTACTTCAATCAAACACCTATGAATTCATTAACCACCTCATGCTTAATTTAAAACAATTCATGCATTGATTAAACACCTCATGCCTGCTTGATACATGCAATACACGGCCAAGTGGAAGGAAAGAAAAAAAAATACTTAACCTTGGTAATTAGGTGCAAAATCGGACATTTATCCCAAACCCCTAATTAACAAATTATTTGGAAAACTTTTAATAAATCAACCAATGCAAAATTTGGCAGCCATTAATAATTTTGGCCATACTAAATTTTGAAAAGTCAAATTACTATCCTAAAAATTAAATGAGCAAATTAAACGAGTGATAAGAGTGTAAAATACCATATTTTCCCCTCTTAACTATTGCATTCATGTGATTATATTATGCCAAAATGCACTCATTACTCTTATATTTTGGTTTAGGTTACATTTTGGTGAAAAATATTAAATTCGGAAGAAACAAGTGAAAAATGACCAAAGTAGAAGAGAACGAAAGTTCGAGGACTAAAGTGCAAATGATCCAAACTTGTGTCCAAGATTATGATGAAGATTCGAAAGTGTTAGAGGTCCAGTGGATGAGGAACGAAGTCAAAGGGATGAAATAACATCAAAGTTTGATCAATACATCAATTTCCAATCGAAAACCAACACACCAGTTTTTAGTCTCATGTTGGGACCCATTTTTGACATGGAAGATGATCGAATTGGGAGATGACTTCTGAATAAAAATTGTGGCCCTTTGAGTTAGCTATCCAATGCAACTCAAATCACCTCAATTGGACATCAGGAAAGAAAGTTACAATTAAAATACTGAAAGCTGTCTGGCGGAACCATGCGGCCGCATGCCTTTCTACTATGCGGTCGCACACACCTATACCGAGAATTGAAGAGGCTGAAAGTGCATAACCATGCGACCGCAATGACAATAACCATGCGGTCGCATAGTTTTTTTTTGGCGGCCGAATCTCAGTTTCCTTATACGATTAAATCTCTTATGGTAACCTAATTTTCATGGGATATAAATGCCCAAAACCACCCAGAACGAAGGCAGACGCCCCCAGACCTATTTCTTTCATCTTGGTGCTCAAAAAACTCCATGGAAAACTAAGGAACTCGGTGAAACAACGAAGGAACTCATTGGATTTGGAGATTTCACGTCATAATTTCATGTAATTCGAACTCTCTTTGCTTAATAATTTCTAGATTTGGATTTTCTCGTTATGAATTAGTATTGAAATTTGTTTAACTTTTAATAAATTTCTCATGGATTCAGTCATACTTTTTCCATTGTTAAATTAAACTATTTGTTGAATTTCAATTTAAATTACTTATTGTTGAGATTATTTTAACTTTTATCAAATCCTTCATAGATCTAGCCATGCTCTTTCTATCGAATGATTGAAATAATTGTTGAATTTTAATCTTAATATCACTTTATTGGCGGATTGATTACTGCCTTATGCCTGACGTATATGGTCGATTTTTGATCTTGTTCCAATAAAAATGTGCGAATGTGTTATAGAAAATCTAGATTCTAGAAACATAATTGGAATAAAATTGGACTTCACTGTTAAATCTTCCAATTAGAGAGTTGAGAAGAAAACCTCTAATTGAGTAAAAATACATGAATTATTGATGTTGATTGATCCAATCCAATGGGGGAACTCCGACGCTTTACTAATTCGCATATTGATAATTAATTTTTATTTCAAGTGACAAATCATTCCCACATTTAATTACGAAGACCCTAGTTTGTTTGATCTTTTGAGAATTTTTTCATCTCCCTGTGGATACGACACTCCAAAGCTGTACTACAATCACCGCGTTATTCTTTGGGCATAATCAACGAGCATAGAATTTCGGAGTATTACATCCCTCCTCCCTTAAAAAATTTCATCCTCGAAATTACCTTAAACTTAGTTGAAAAGTTCTGGATACTTGGTCTTGATTTCCTCTTCTCTTTCCCAAGTTGATTCTTCGACATTATGGTTTCTCCATTGAACTCTCACTAACGAAATTTCTTTTGTTCTCAATTGTTGGATTCTGCGATCCAATATTGCTACTGGTTTTTCCTTATAATTCATGTTTTGTTTGATATCCAATGGTTGATAACTAACTACATGACTTTGATCTGTCACATATTGTCGAAGCATTGACACGTGGAACACATCATGAATTGTCGACAAATCTGGTGGTAGAGCAATTCGATAGGCTGCATTTCCAACTTTTTGCAAAATTTCAAAAGGACCTACGAATCTTGGTTGAAGTTTTCCCTTCGTTCCAAAGCGAAGAACTCCCTTCATCGGTGCCACTTTTAAGAAAACCTTATCACCCACATCAAATGCCAAATCTTTTCTCCTTTTATCAGCATAACTTTTCTGTCGGTCCTGGGCTGCCTTGATTCTAACTCTTATTTTATCAACCGTTCGACTAGTTTCCTCAATTATTTCGGGTCCTAAAACTCTTCGTTTACCTACTTTATCCCAATAAAGAGGAGCTCTCTACCATAGAGAGCTTCATAAGGTGCCATCTTTATCGTAGCCTGATAGCTATTATTATAGGCAAACTCTACCAGTAGTACATAACTTTCCCAACTGCCTCCTAAATCAAGGACGCAGGCACGCAGCATATCCTCTAGAGTCTGTATAGTCCTCTCCGATTGTCCATCGGTTTGAGGATGAAAAGCTGTGCTGAAGTTTAACTTGGTTCCCATGGCTCCTTGCAAACTTTTCCAAAATTTTGAGGTAAATCTTGGATCTCTATCCTATACAATTGAGGCTGGGATTCCATGCAAACGGATGACCTCTTTGATGTACAATCGCGCATATTGATCCATACTAAAATTCATTCTTACCGGTAGGAAATGAGCTGACTTTGTTAACCGATCCACTATAACCCATAAAGCATCATTTCCCCTAACTGATTTTGGAAAACCCATAACAAAATCCATAGTTATATGCTCCCATTTCCATTGTGGAATTGTTAATGGTTCCAACAATCCAGATGGCCTTTGATGTTCAGCTTTCACTTGTTGACAAGTCATACACTTCCTAACAAAAAGACCTATGCACCGTTTCATATTTCTCCACCAAAACATACTCCTTAGATCATGATATATTTTTGTTCCTCCTGGATGAGCAGTATATGGAGTTAAGTGTGCTTCTTCAAGAATTTCTTTCCTCAATCCCTCATCTTTCGGCACACACAACCTTCCCTTAAAAAGTAAGGCTTTATCACTGTCTAATTCAAAATCCTTTCGCTTGCTAATACCAACTTCGGATTTAATCTTTTGCAAGAAAGAATCATCATCCTGTGCTACTCTTATTCGATCTCTAAGTGTTGGTCGAATCATTAGAGTCGTCATCTTGGTGATAGTTTGGGTTGGTGGAGCAATTACTTCTAGATGTATGTTTTCAAAATCCTTTAACAATTGGTCCTGCATAGTAATTAATACTGCTAATTGTCCAACCGCCTTTCTGCTAAGAGCATCTGCTACTACATTAGCTTTACCAGGATGGTAAAGGATAGTGCAATCGTAATCCTTCACTAGCTCTAGCCATCTCCTCTGCCTCATATTTAATTCCTTTTGGGTGAAAAAGTACTTCAAACTCTTATGATCCGTATAAATGTCACACTTACTTCCATATAAGTAATGACGAGCCCGAGCCGAGAAGGGGGCTCGATCCCACGAGCTGTTTTGACGATCCAAAAAATTGAATTTTTTTAAAAAAAGGTGCAAAAAATGTGCAAAAAAAAAAAAAAAAGAAAAAAAAAGCTCACGAGCGGCTCCACTAGCTCGTGGCTCGTGAGCTCACGAGCTCGTGGGCTCCGAGCCGAGCTCGCCCACGAGCAACGAGCCGAGCTCGAGCTCGGCTCGTTAAAAACTCGCCACTAGCCCGAGCCGAGCTCGTGGATTAAAGGGTCGAGCCGACTGGCCTCGGCCCATTGCCATCCCTAACAATACTATTACACATAAAATAAAATCTTTTTCTTCTTTTTCAATCACATATTCTCTAGAAAAAATACTATTCCAGAAATTATAATATCAAATAATAGGGGCATAATTGTAATTCATAAAATATGAGATCTTAATTCTCAATAAAATACACATATAAGTCTATTGAATTCTTTACTTTCCTCTACTTTCACTCTAATTTATAATATGAACTTTAATTTTTTTTATAAATTTTTAATAATTATTATGATAATTTTATTTTATTTTTTCTAAACTTCAAACATAGTTTGCATAAATTTTACGAGTATGGAAACATAACAAGCTACCAAAAAATAAAATAAAATAAAAATCCACTAAATCAACTAATAAATTAAAATTATAATCATTTTTGGATAATTTTTGGATAATTTTAGTGAGGCCTTGGTATCTTGTTTGGGCCAGGATGTCCACTAAAGAGTTAGGCTTTCAGGTTGATGTGTTATTTGGGCCAAATAAAACTGGGCTTTATTTTAGAAGGTTTGCATTTCAGGAAGTATATAACCCTAACCTAGCATGATCTCTAGGGTTTGACACGTTCTAAATCCCTCTGATCTGATCTGGGAGAAATGGTGCCGCTTAACCACCCATTTGTACTTTGTTGCAATTTTCAATATCTGTTACTTACATATCGAACTGACTTTATTTTGCTTCTTTCGTGTAAAAATGAATGTTATAGGCTCCAAAGAAGGGCGCGAAATTGCCGGCGGGAGTGGCTAAAAAGAAAGCGGAAAAGGTAGTGAATCCTCTATTCGAGAAGCGGCCAAAGCAATTTGGTATTGGTGGAGCGTTGCCGCCGAAGAAGGATCTCCACCGATTTGTGAAATGGCCTCAAGTGGTGAGGATTCAACGCAAGAAGATGATTTTGAAGCAACGCCTTAAGGTCCCGCCGCCAATTCATCAGTTCTCTAAAACCCTCGACAAGAACTTGGGTCTGTTTTTATACCCTTTCCTCTGTATATATTCGTTTTTTTTTTTTCATCTACTCTCCGTATTATGAGTTCTGACTGTTATTCTTGTTTGCTAAATGTGATCTTGGTAATTTTTATATTTTGCTTTTGATTGTTTCTTATGCTTGTGAAAATTAGATGAAGGCCACCTACAATGTAGGAAGCTGGGCGTGTAGTAGTATGCTATTTTTTTTTTTCTTTTTTTTTTATGATGGACGATACTGTTGCGTTATTTGCTTGTTACGAATGGCGTGTCTTGTTATGCTTTCACGAAATGTTTCTTTGGTTTGTATTATTATTTGTGATTTGAGATGAGATACCCCAGATCATGTCATTGTCAATTCATTTGAAAATTTCAGCATGGTACAATGATGCTATTGATGGAATCATGTTTGGTTAATTTATGCTTATGCAAATGTTATAATTCTAAAATTGAGTGCTCAGACTGGATTCTATCTTTATTATCCTTTCTGAAATATATACCGTTGGTTATCTGGTTAATAGTAAAGAGAATTGTTTTTAGGACTGGATAAGTCTGGAAAATATAGAATTTATATAGATACACGTGGATCTCTGATCATAAATTGCTTAAGCAGTATTTATCAATTTTGTAACTGATAATCTTTTATATCTTTTAGACAAATTCATATCTATGTAATAATAGAGGAGCCAATCTAGGCCATGAAATTAACATTTACGTTGTAGTTTGGCTTTATGGTCTTGGAATTGCTGTCCCAACTATGATCTATGCTGGTTATAAAGGGCCTCTTTCCGTTGCCTTTTTGTAAAATTTTATTGTTGTTTGGCTTTAAAATGAAATTAAATTGTGCTTACCATTGTCAAATTTTATGTTCATGATATTGAATTTGGTTGCAGTATTTATCAAGCTTGTAGCTGATAATCATCTATATCTTTTAGTCAAATTCATATCTATATACTAATAGAGGAGCCGATCTAGGCCATGAAAGCAACATTTACATTGTAGTTGGGCTTTGTGGCATTGTAATCACTGACCCAACTATGATCTACCCTGGTTATTAAAGAGCCTCTTTCCATTACCTTTTTGTAAAAATTTTTATTGTTGATTGGCTTAAAAATGAAATTGAATTGTGCTTGTACCATTGTGAAATTTTATCTTCATGATATTGAATTTGGTTGCTTTTCAATATGCAGCAACAAGCTTGTTCAAGATGCTTCTCAAATACAGGCCTGAGGATAAAGCTCAAAAGAAGGAGAGGCTACTAAAAAGAGCACAGGCTGAGGCGGAAGGAAAAACACCTGAGATTAAGAAACCAATCATTGTGAAATATGGTCTCAACCATGTTACCTATCTAATTGAGCAGGTTTGGACTTCTTGACTCCAGTGCATGTGTTAGTGTATTATTACGAAAGAACTAATGAACCAAGCTATTATTGCAGAACAAAGCTCAACTAGTTATCATTGCCCATGATGTGGACCCCATTGAGTTGGTGGTATGGCTTCCTGCATTGTGCAGGAAAATGGAAATCCCTTACTGCATCGTGAAGGGAAAGGCTCGATTGGGAACTGTAAGTGGCCTAAGGTCTTTGGCTACGTGATTTTCGGTAATATTTGCTTAGAGCCCATTATAATGTTCTGTATTATGCCATCTTGCAGATAGTCCATAAGAAGACGGCATCTGTATTGTGCTTAACCTCAGTTAAGAATGAAGACAAGATGGACTTCAGCAGGATCTTGGAAGCTATTAAGGTAGTGTGCTATTTATATTCTGTAAATCATGTTTTCTTTAAGTCCTATGTTGAGTTATTCTTGATATGTTTGGCATAAATTAAAATTTGATGGACAAAATACCTTGTTTTCTTTTTCTGCTGTTGCAACAGGCCAACTTCAACGATAAATACGATGAGACCAGGAAGAAGTGGGGTGGTGGAGTTATGGGCTCAAAATCCCTGGCCAAGACAAAGGCCAAAGAGAGACTCATGGCCAAGGAGGCTGCACAGAGGATGACTTAGGCTCTTAGTCTTGCATTTTTCTATCAAGGATGGAACCATATGAGCGAACCTTTTTTACCTTCCTTTGTTGCTACAATTCATGCTAGACATTTTTGTTTCCATGTGATATTTGATAGACGAAATGCTTTATCGTGTCTAGTATATGACGATGTTTGGTTTTGTCAGGTGTTTATGTACTTCAAGTTTTTCGTAGAATGAAATGCAACATTTTTAACGTGTTGTGTTGTTCTTCCTCTAGAAATTTTGCAAATTTGAGCCTCCCTTATCGATGTAGAATTCTGGGTATTGAGTGTGTGTGGCACGAACGTCAATGCATGGCATCGAAATTCATTTCACCGCCATGAAATATCGAGTAAAATAGCTATAAACTCCATTTGGATTTCAGGTTGTTCTATCCTCAAGTTGCTGATTGAAGTTCTTGAAAGCAACATAGCTCGAAGGGGATCCATGGTAGATTTCTAGATAATTTCAGTCAATTATGAAGAATTACGCTACGTTAATTTTTTTATGACATCTTCTATGGGACAAAAATAAAAAATATGGATTTCGGAAGGAAACGGCATCCAAGGTTTAATGTATATTGTAGTGTATCGATGCACCACTGGCTTCTATTTTGAGTTGACGGGTGAAAAGGGTATCCAGCCAATGGATGCTGCGCGGTTGCCGGTATATTCCTTGTCAAACAATCAAGTTTGGTCAAAACAATATTCAAGTACATATGTATGTTGCCTGTTGTTTTACAAATGATTGTCTTTCTATAGCGTGTCATTTACTTCCTGACTCCAATTGCTAATGGCAAAATTTTTTGTTAATTCAATGGTTGCGGCTTTGAACGGGACGGGGGGTTCTTTGCTTAATCGGGTACATGGGGTATCGTGGTGAACATGATTCTTGTTCTGTTTAAAGTTTTTGATCACACAAGAAGAGATCATCATCTTTTCTAAATGGAATATGAATGGTTCTACAAATTGGAAAAAGGAATAATTTTCACTAGTTAAAGACATGAATAGAAGAATAAAGGCAAGAAAAAAATGAACAAAAATAAATAAATAAATAAATGGGATGATAATAGGGAAGGAGACCCCACCCCCGCGTTAACTAGAGATGGGGGCTGGGCAAGGACCCAATTGGACTCGAGACAAGAATGACTGCCCCGACCCCAATTCACCGGCGCCATCTCTAACGTACAGAGTGCCAATAGATGGTTAATATGGCGTTCAAGAGATGCATGAAAATATAATCTTTGCACAGGACAAATCATTTCAAATTTTGCGGATTGGATAAGTCTGCAAAATCACGAATATTGCTAGCTAGTTAGGCTGGGCCTATCCCTTTTTAAAATTTATATTTGAAACTTTGATATATTTGCAATTCATATTGCCAATTTTTTTTTTAATTTATAAATATAAATATTACTTTTACAAATTACAAGTAGAATTTACTAGTAAAAATACAATTTTTAATGAATAAAGCCCGCTAGACTTGTCCTTATTATGTCTATATAATAATTAATTATTTTTAGATATTCTTCTATAAACTTAAAATTGATAATATATCATATTGTTGCTATTGAAGTAGCACAACTTTATAATTAATATAAAACATTAATCGTAAATATATTTATTATAAATAATTTGTTGTTGCTCCTAAAGTATCACAACATTTTAATTAATATTTTTGAAAAATATTACTTGCTCTTGAAGAACATAAATTATAATTTTCAACATTTCTGAAAAATATTGACATATTGCTTTTGAAGAAGTAATAGTAAAATATAAAGTGCTCCCAAAATAGCACATGTTTCGATGAACATATTATTTTAGTGTTTATTTTTGAAAGAAAACACATAACTTATGTCATGTTAATATTATTACTTGATTAACTATTACGTAGTGTATAATTATATTTTTTGAAACTAATTGTATTTTCTTTTGCCTTATCGTGTAGTTAATTAAATGACAAATATTACAAAATTTGAGTTTGCTGCACTTGACATATCTAGCAAAAACTATCTTTCATGTGTGCTTGATACTAATATTCACCTTGTCTTAAAAGATTTGGAAGAAGCAATAAAAGGAAACAAGACCCTACAGAATTATGCAAAAGCACCCATCTTTTTTTGTCATCATTTTCATTATGGATTAAAAATTAAATATCTCATCGAGAAAGATCCACAAATTCGTTAAAAAAATTAACTGAAAGATTTGATCATCGGAGGATTATAATCCTTTTTAAAGCCTACTACGAGTGGATGTACCTTCGTTTGCAATAATTCAAAATTGTTAGTAAGTATAATTCAGAATATGTTCAAAATTAACTACGTGGAGAAAAAATCACAGATGAATATATGTTGGAGAAACCTTTTTCCACCTTTCATGCATCGAATGTGCTTCTACAACATCAATATCGTGAGCCTGGTTTTTAAAATTTATATCTTGAATGTTTTTTGCTGAATAGAATAATAATCTGCTGATGAAAAATTATGAGTTACGTTCAACTAGTTCTGTACCATTGCCTAAAGCAAATGGTACTGCATTACTTGAAGCAAATGCAACATCAAGATAATGACGTAGATGTGGACACGGATTTGGACGTGGATGCGGACATGGATGTGGAATAAACCATGGACGAAATAATAAATAAAGTTTTTAACAATAAGGTAAAAATTTCAAAAGGTATAAAATAAACAAAAGTAGCATATTCAGAAATGTACACAAAGAAAGTGGCTTTATATTTTGAAATGAAGAGGCATTGGACATGTACCTGTCGTACGGTAAAATATCTTGTAGATCTCTACCAAAAATCATTTAAGGGAAATGGAAAAGTGAAGATAAATTTTGTTGATTATGATGGTCCAATTGATGTGGCTATGTCTCCGATTCTTTACTGATAAGAATATTGGCCATTTGATTAGAGTTGTGTAATGGAAGATATAGATTAGCTTATTTTCTATATCTCTAGTATTTACCTTTATTTTAGAAATTTAATTTGAAATATGTTTTCACTTTTTGCAGCAAAATTTGAAACTTTATTATACTTCATTAATTTTGTTTACCCTTTTAAATTTAAATTCAAGCCTTTCTAAAAATATATTTAGTTTGGACTTAACATTAGAAGAAAATAATGTTAATATGATATTAGGTACATCGAATATCATCGAAGGCTTCGGAAGAGCTTATATTATTTTACCAAATAATACAAAATTATATATTAATGAAACCCTTTTTCTAGCAAATCTAGAAGAAATTCGATTAGTTTTAAAGACCACTCGATATTGAAAATATGGTTTCTGAAGAACCACAAGAATCCGAAAATAATGAGATTTCAATAAATTATATGTTATCTCATAAATTATGGGAATGGAATAATGTTGTTATAGACTATATTTTCATTTTTAATATGACTCTTGATATTACGCTAAATGAAGATTCTGAACCACAGTTAGTTAAAGACTATCAAAATATAAATGATTGGCCAAAATGAAAAAAAAGTCATACTGGCAGAATTGAATCCTTTTTGGACACAAAAATAAAATCCATTACTTGATATCTTTAATCTGTTATCATCTTGAGTGATGTTCATTGCTATGCTGGCTTCTAGTGGCTCAACGTGCTCAGCTCCTTCTATGACTCTAGAATGCCAGACATGCAACTTCACCATCAAAGTATGGCAGAATGCATGCAAAAGCCTCCACTTCAGTAATCACTATCCTGTCTTTAATAGTCATCGATTAAAAATTACATGTAATTCCACTATATTTGTAATCAACATGGTGGGTTCACACATATTTGTAATCACTTAGAAAAAATACAAATCAATTGAATTGCATATCAAAACTTACTTGTAATTCCACTATGTGACGTGTTGGTCATATAGGCAACATTCTGAAAAAAAAAAATTAGCATGCTTGAATTATGTTAACACGAAACAAAAAGGTAGTCTTTGATTTCGTGAGCATCACGGAATGTTAGCGTGTATAATGACAACAAATCTAAGAAAAACAAGAAACTTGGAATAACGGGGTGTCTATTTGTAAATTAACGAGAAAATTCTTTTCAATGTTCTATATATGCATACTAAGTGCGATTAATTCCACAACAGGATTGCTTCGTACAAAATATGTGTGACAAGACAAATATGTATAGTCGTCTACACAAGAATACTGCATAAAATTGATATGATTATTCTTCATTGCGTTATATCAGGTTACCCAAGGAACAAGCTTCTAGGTACCACTTATTTTATGAATATTCTATGTTGTAATAGAAATGCATAAAAAATCATTAAAATGAAACGATTTAGTAAAGTTAATAGTATGATTGTCTGAGGTATAGGTTGCATCATTATTTTCTTCTTCTTTGATGAGGAGTCACCAGCAACGTAGTCTATCTGCCACTTCTTGCTATTGTTCATGTAGGTTGTCCTATTCGTATCTTCTTTGACATTTTTTAGGTCTTGAAAATCATTTGAATGTTCACTTTATTCCTTCAAACCTAAAAATACAGCTATGGAGCGTGTTATGTGGCGTGTAGGAGTACATACAATTTCATTTTTCAGCTCCATAATCTCCATGGATTTTTAACCTTCACCTATGTGACTACCCTCGATTGAAACCAGTAATAATCTCCATTTTGGGGTTGCCAAGTGATAAGAATAATTTGTAGACTTATTTAGCCTTTAATCTAGAGTATCGATTGGTTATTTTGATGAATCATAGCCTTCTTCTTTTTTTTTTTTTTTTTTTTTTTTTTTTTTTTTTTGTTGTAGGAGTACATACAATTTCATTTTTCAGCTCCATAATCTCCATGGATTTTTAACCTTCACCTATGTGACTACCCTCGATTGAAACCAGTAATAATCTCCATTTTGGGGTTGCCAAGTGATAAGAATAATTTGTAGACTTATTTAGCCTTTAATCTAGAGTATCGATTGGTTATTTTGATGAATCATAGCCTTCTTCTTTTTTTTTTTTTTTTTGTATTGTGTTTATTAGGTACAAATCGACGAAAATGATTGAATTGGAGAAAAAAGGCGGAAAAGGGACTCAATTGCAAGGAATCCAAAGTTCAGGGACTCAAATGCACATAATCAAAAGATGGATTAGACATAAGAACAAAGATTCAAAATTGCTAGGGGCAATTAGATGAGAATAGAAGATAATTGGATGAGAAAGGATGAAAAAGCACCAAAAAGCATACATGAAAAAGTTTAGGGAG